GTTGACGGTTGGACTCGATGATCTTAGAGGTCTTTTCCAACTTTAATGATTCTATGATTCTACAACTTATGTATATAAATCTCCATGGATATAGGCCACTGTATCACTTTAAGTTTTCAACTTCTGAGCATAAGCTGAAGAGCTGACTAGAGCTAACAAGCAAAATAACAGCCACCGAGAATAATTTAAAATAGCCTTTTTTTTTCCCTTTTTTTCTTTTAAGCAATCTGTGTGAGGTGGCAGATGTAAACTTAGTATGCCTGGGAAATAAATCTTGTATTTTCAGGAGGGTGGAGGCACTGCCGTCTCATAATTAGCCACCATTTCCCTTAAGAATTATATGTTTTCCTAGAAAGGGAATAGGGAAATACTTTTATTATTGCTTCTGACCAATATATCTCTTAAGAATGCATTCAAAAGTATGGAAAGTTTTTTTTACTATTATTTATTAGACTGTCCGCAACTTGATTTTTGTCTCACACATGTACTTAGTGAAAAGACTAAGACCAAGTACGATGCTGTACTGCAACACATTCAGGTAAAATTCCTTCTTTTTGTAGTAAATAACACCTACCGAGAATAATTTAAAATAGCCTTTTTTTTTCCCTTTTTTTCTTTTAAGCAATCTGTGTGAGGTGGCAGATGTAAACTTAGTATGCCTGGGAAATAAATCTTGTATTTTCAGGAGGGTGGAGGCACTGCCGTCTCATAATTAGCCACCATTTCCCTTAAGAATTATATGTTTTCCTAGAAAGGGAATAGGGAAATACTTTTATTATTGCTTCTGACCAATATATCTCTTAAGAATGCATTCAAAAGTACTGGAAAGTTTTTTTACTATTATTTATTAGACTGTCCGCAACTTGATTTTTGTCTCACACATGTACTTAGTGAAAAGACTAAGACCAAGTACGATGCTGTACTGCAACACATTCAGGTAAAATTCCTTCTTTTTGTAGTAATCAGAGGCAAGGGAAGTGTTAATGCATGGACCTTTCTCTACCAGCTCCCGTTGATTTTTAGTAAGAGCAACAACAGCCCGGGTGTGGAGAGTATGTTTTGAGCGGATTCCCGGTGTTTGGGAGACTAGAGACACAATGCTGTTTCCTTCTGTAGTTATCAGGAGAAAGCTTCAGGCAAGACTGCCTGTGACAACCTTATTTCAAACATTTTAAGATCTTTCCGAGTAGAGCAGTCTGCATATATTGCACACTTATTCCATGATCTCTTAGTTTGGATATGGGATTAAAAAGGCAGACTGTTGAATTCTGATCCGTCCCTTGCTCAGCTCACCTAAACTATCATTTACAAGCTTGGATAACTTATTTTTGATTGTATACTTTTGAACAAGTATTATTTACATATTAAGGAATTAAAAGATGCAAAAACTGTAATTCTACAATGAATAAAGCCCCCTATTGTTTCAGGGGTTGCTGTCCTTCCGTTTCAATCAAATAAAGTGTGAATGGCTCCAATAGCTTAGAAGAAAGCACTTAGATAAAGGTATTCCATAAATGCTAGGGAACACCAAAAGTGAATTTGCTGAGAAAGACAGCTACTCCTACCTTCCCCTGTAATTTTCTTCCTTTGCTAATGCTGGCTAATTTCCTGTGGTTTCCAGAAAAGCATGCACAAAAGAGTGAAAGACAAAGAATCAACTGAGCAACCACTTTCCTCCCTCTGTCCTCTGCTCTGAGGCCTGCCCTGGATGTGACATCCTTGGTCTGACCAAGTCCTTTGGGGAGCCCAAGTCATGGAGGGGGGGAAACTTCATCTGACTGAATTACACATTTATTCTGCTTCTGTTGTTCAAGATAGACACAGCAAATTTGCCTTTCTGCGTTAGTACATCATCTCATCTCCTGAGGAGGGAGGTAAGTGCACAGGAAAGGACGCAGCACGTGCTGTGCAAGCCATAGTTGGTGATCAGTGTCCAGATTTCAGCCAGGCAAATACACACTGTGCAACCTTATTCAGCTGTGCAGGGGCACCTGAACCATATGAAGGCACTGTCAGGATCCATATATATCGCTCTATAGCCAGGGCAGCGCAGTATGGAGACAGGAGAGGGCATATGCTGCCTGAGACCAGCTGGAGGGGCAGAGCTTCTCTTCTCCAAGTTTACCCCTATGGATTAATTGCTGAATACTCGGGAGGTTTCAACTCAACCAGGGTATCCACTGTGGAGAGAATATCCACCAGTCCACAGCATCTCCAGCTGTGGATTGCCTGACACTGGGCCGAGTGGCCATAGACAGCTGGGGGGACCACTAAGGGTCACTGGTTTCCAGATGTAGTTAATGGCTACTTTCCTTTTCACAGTGAATGGTGAGCATACATGGGACGCTACCTGTGCAGCTGTGTCGCAAGTTCAGCCCAGACTTCTTAAAGGTCACCTTGCACATCCACCATGCCTGAAGTACAAACCTTTCTCCATCTCAACTGGAAACAGCAAGTCCTTCATCGAGCCTTTCACAATACCCTTCCTGTAATCCTTCCCTGTCGGACTGTGAAGAACTGTTCAGTTCCTCTGACCTCCTCCTCATCATCATCACTGGTGCTTAAGCCTCTTTTCCCTTCCTGCAGCCTGGCAGTCTGGAAAAGGAAGCAGAAGTGGCTGGAAGCAGTTGCTAAAGAGGTTAGTGTGGAAATGGCTATGCAGAAGTAGGGACCAGCCTGTCTGGGGATGATGGAGAGAAGTGGACTCCAGCCAGCCTGCCTCAGGGAATGGCCACGAGGAGTATGAGTCTCCCCTGCCTCAAGGCAGCTGCATCACTGATATCTCCTGCCCAGTGGAGATACTGTAGAGCATCCAAGGGTTCAAGAGCTGTCCTGGACCAACAGGCATCCAGTCCAGCAGCTCTGCAGGTGGGACAGGCATTGCTGAAGCCAGGAGTGATTTTGCAAGGTAAAGCTCTGTATTGCACACCTGCCTTGTGCACCCTGCTCTCTTCCTGCCTCCTTCTCCCCAGTAAGGGCTAATGAGAAGCAGCAGCAAGAGAGACAGATGAATTTTTCTGGGTGGTGTTTTGGCAGACTTCACACCCAATCAGGCTGCTCATGTCCATGCCGCGGTACCTTTCTGCTGGGTTTGATTTCCCACAGCAGGCACGAAGCCAGTGTAAACACTTGTGCATATGGTTTGCAACTTGAGAGGTGTAAAAGGGGGAGGTACTCATGCCTCACCTGAGACAAAGTTATGCCAGGCATGATGAAATACAACAGTATTTATACCAGTGCAGACCTGGCCTTAACATGATGTGAGATCATGGTATAATGGTTTTGGCAGGAGCAAAAGATAAATCTTTGGGGGGAGAGGAAGGGAAGGGGGGAAGGGGAGGGCCTCAGTGAGATGAAAAACTGGGAAAAAAATCAGGTTAAATAAAACATTCCATAGATGTAGAACTTTCTTCTGTCATATTTTGGTATTTTTGCCCACTTATTTTGAGTAACTGTATCTAAATTTTAAGACAGAACAGTATTTTAAACAAGATTGAGATATACTTTTGATCTGGATCAGTGATGCACAAATGGGGGGAAAAGCACCCAGACAATATTTGCTTTAAAATTTAATCTCTGCATTATTTTTTAAAAGTGTATTTTCTACTCTCTTTTGTATGAGAAGGTAGTAGGGCAGCCACAGCTCCATCCAGAACAGTTCAAGGGTTTTCAACGAAACTTTCAAACTTACAAAACTTGCAACCTAGTCCTGCTGAAATGGGGACTGACTTTATTTTAGACTTGCTGTTGGAAGAGGCCACAGATTTGCAGGGCAGGAAATTAAGCTCCCACAAACTTCTGTTATTCCCCTGGAGTTCAGCATTGTGCAAAACTTCCAGCTACTGACTATTTCTCACCAGCTGGGTTTATTTACCTGTACCAGTCAATTCTTTTGAATGAAAATCTTCACTTTTCCATCAGCTACAGAATTAGGGATAGCATGAATCCATTGGGAATTGACAATGTTCACAGCATGTCCAAGTGCGGTAGGGAAGCACAGGGAAATCACAGGGGAGTTTCATGCTTTGGGAGCTGGAAAATGTTATTTGGTGAATTGGGAAACTACTTTTGAAAATGCATGTAATTTAATTGTTATAACAAATCTAATTACTGTTGTATTAATTGATCACAGACAAGTATGTTGTATTCTATGCAGATCATGCAGTGAAAACTCATCTGCCTGCCAAAGAGCTCACTACACAAGAAGTTTATAACCTCGAAGAGCAAGATATAAAGCACCCATCCAGCCCATTTCAATTTTAACCACAGTGGTTAAATAATCCAGGAAACCATGCAATTATATTTATCCAAGTCTTATTTTCAACTTCTGGTTTTGTGGGTGGCTACTCTGATTGAAAGCTTAAAAGGAAATTGCATTCAGCAATTCACCCATTGGACTGCATTACAAAATCACTTCTTGTATGACGCTGTTGCTATGTTCCTCACCTAACTTTGCTTGGGAAGCTCACAACACTGGTGCAAGTTTTCCTTGACAAAAAAAGCTTAAAACAAGGGGAAGTTCACATGGGTTTTAGTTTTCTTAAAGCTATTTCAATTAGCTATTAGCAATTAGCTGTAATTTAGCTGCCATGTGAGACTTTTAACACCAGCAGGGAAGATGCAGTCAGTAGCCTGGCTCAGCCAAGCATCCAGAGCATCAGGGCAGGTCCAAGGTCAAGCCGGGAAATCAACGTATTGGTTGAGCCGAAATGGGGTCCTGAGCCCCTGGGCTGGGGCATGGGAGGAGGGGTCACCTGAGGGGTCACCTGAGGGTTTTAGAGTCAGTCAGGCTCATGATGAATTCACAGACTGCGTCATGGTCCTACACAGAGTTTGTGAATTTCACTGTTGAAAAATGTTCTGTGCCCACCTACTGACAGTAACTAAACATGCGTAAGGAAGCAGGTATCATAAGCTAAACAAAGCAGTCTTGGACCACCACAAACCTAAAGCAGAGGAGCACGCTCAACCGAAAACAGAGACCCAAAGCATCGCAGGGAGCAACTACTGGAAGTATTTATTAGCATATTTACAAGGCAATTAACAGAGACAGCAAAACAGACTTCTCACTCTGTCTAGCACTTCATGCTGACTCTTTTAACTGGGCTTTTGGCACACGGTGGGGAACAGATCCCTACCCTGGCAATCTGAACCCTGTCCACGGTTCCTTACAAGGTGCTGCCCCTTCTGTCCTTGGGGTTTCTTGGGGAACTATCATGGGGAATGAAGATATATTGAATACTCTGTTCCAGTTTCTCGTCTCACCTATTTCTTTCCCTCCAAAGGAGCACCTCTTCCGGATAAATACCAAGTGCATTTATAGCAATTCGCAATTTCTTCTTCCCATTTCTTTGAAGATCAGTATGCCAGACTCTTCATCTTCCCTGTGAGCTTCTTTGAGCTTAACTCTGTATTGTTTCCAGACCAGAACATTCTCCTAGCTTAAAAGGCCTCTCTTCTGGTTACACATTTTTAAAGACAGTAACCACCCTTTGTAAATCAGGTATCTTGGGAAGGAGTCATTGTACACCTATCTGCTGAACCTAAGAGTGACCAGACAGGAACCAAACACAGATCTTCCAGGTGAGCCTCCCATGCCCCCACTGCCCATTTTCAGGGCACCGTACCAAGAATTTAAACAGATTAATCCAGGGCGCTATGCTATTTAGCTCTAGTGCATCTATCCCATGGGCTGTTAAACTATCCTCGCCCACACAAGGCGATAAAATAGGATAAAAGGATAAAGGATAAAATAGCTGTGCTGGAGACAATAAAAGCTTTTTTTCCCCCTGCACAGGCAAACAGATGAACACCACAGCACCTCACTTTAAGCTGCCCTAGAACCCTTTCCATGCTAGATATACATGTGTCTCCCCTTCTAAATCCAGTTGACTTTGTCAGCCCTCCCAAAACGACAGTTGGGCGTGACTCAGTCTGGGAGCTTTCCTATTGCAGCCACATATAGAGGGAAGTTTTGGGCAGTAGCAGTCATGTTTCCAGATCAGTGCAGATGGATAGAGAAGAATATTTGTAACCTGTCCCACTCCATATGCCCCGTAACAGCAGTGCCATTCACTAGAAGACATAGTCATTATCTGCCTTCCTGGTTTACAAAGCTCCCATTTATATCCTTGGACATTACATACCAATCACATTTCAAAACCCCACGGAAAAAGAAAGGGGAGGGAAGTCAAAACACCTTGTGAAATCTCACCCGCTTACTACAAAGACAAACTGAAAGTTCTCAGACAAAGAACTACCGAGTTCCACAGAAAACAGGAAAAACACATCATTGGGTTCACTATGAATTACATTTTCACTGAGACCTTCATGTCCATCTAACAAAGTTCTTGGCTACCCTAAAAAATGATGTTTTGCAATTGTGAAGAGTACTCAAGAAAAGTATCCATCGCCATGTCCTTCAGCAGTTTCAACAATGAAACTGTATTGCCAAGAAGCAACTTCTGTTCTTTGCAGCAGCCGTTGTATCATCGTTTCCTCTCGGTACTGCCACTTCACTGTCACTATTACTCCCTGTATTGCTTCTCCTGGAGAAGTTTGGGTATGATCCTCGCCACAGCTCCTCTTGCCCCTGTGGACCTCCTACAGCAAGGACTTTCAGTATTCTGAATTCCAACTTCTTGTGGAGAAAGTCTCTGTGTTTACACAGCCAGCCGTTCCCTATTAAGAGCTTGTCTTGGATTAAACTGACCAATGCTGCAAAGCCAGTTCCTGCGTGAGGAGCACCTTCTGGTAGAGATGAAGGCTGAACCTATACGGACACAGTCTCCGTCATTTGTTATATTGACATGAAATCTAAAAAGCCAAGAGAAAAATAAAAATTAGAGCAGAACTTTGGTGTAAAAATTAGAAGACCTATTTCTTATTCTTTGTAAAACTGGGTCTTAAAGACTGCAGAGAACAAACTAGAGAAGGATTTAAAATGAGCCCCACTTCTCATTTGGAGGATCAGGATTCACATGCACGTGAAACGCATGGTGATGCTCTGATGCACCTTCTATTAAAGCAAGCTGCTTTGATCCCCACAGAGACGTACCACGTGTGCTTGTACTTCACAGTCTACAACATGTGAGCATAAAAGGCACAATTCTCCAGAGCAGGAGAGAGAGGATCCCAGCGGGACCCATGGCAGCAGTACTCCTCCAGTACAGAGTGGGGCCCTGCCACCTCTTCCCACCGATTTTGCTGAGTCTCTGCAGAATACACAGGATGTGGCTGCAAAGAAAGCCAATCTCTGGGATACAAAGTGGGCAAAAGCGATGCCTTCTGAGGCACAACCACCCAGCGCAGTGACCTTCCAACGTGGTCCTGAGCACCTCAGTTTGTCTTAGGAGGCCCTGTCTATACTGGCTGAGTGTTGAACCCTGCAAGACCAACAGGGCAAGCTAATTCAAACAATTTATAATGTCTAACATCAGTAATTCTTCCTAATAAGGCAAATGTTATCCATCTCATATAGTGGGATTGTACAGAAACAAGTTACTCTAGGCATAACCTAACAGCCGCTATGCAACCACATGAAAAAGCAGGCAATGCTTCCCCTTCCTCACTTCTCTGGGGACGTAACTAGTTTTATTAGCATAGTATTAGCATTTTTACAGCCATATGACAGCCCTCTTTTGGTAAGAAATGCCAGTTTATCTACAGTGGAATAGGTAACACAGAATAACTTTTCTACTTGGACAAAAAAGCTACCGACTCTCCTCCCGCATAGTATATGTGAAAGAAAACTCACAAGTTAGTGTCAAAAGACTCTCCATTAACCCAGAAGAATTTGTTTCCTTTCCTGCGCAGCCCAATCCAGAAGTCTATTGTGCGTATCCGATACATTATAAAGTCCTAGACAAAACACAGAATAAAATGACATACGGTTATTAGATTTTTTTATGATTATGATTATATAGCTTTTTGTATAACAACTGCATAGATATAAACTGCGTCACAGAATATGCAATGGTGGCCTTTTTTTTTCCCAGGTCACTGATGTTTTACTGCTAAATTTAAGTGGATGAAATACTAAAGGAAGCCCTAGATCTATTACTAATAGTCAATGAGGTCCCAGTTATTTAGCTGGTAGTCACGCAGAGTGTTACTGACCATCCACCTACACCCTGTCCCACCCCATCATTAAAAATGTCCACGTATGTCATTAGACATACCATATCACATTACACGCTAGTACAATGGTTTCAGTGTATCACCAGAAGAATGATGTTTCAGTACAAGGACGTGTATTTAGCGGGGACACAGTGCCTGACTCCACACAGGTTGCCTTGACTGTGTTGTATCACCGTAATTCCTTGGATGTCAGTTATGTTGCGTCTGTCAAATTCAAGTCACACATTTAAAATCCCCCAGCTTCCCAATTTTCACCCTTTTACTCTTGACACTAATCATATCATAAATGTCTGAGTTCGTTCTGTTTTCCTGTTCCTTATATTCCTGACCGTAAAGTCAGTTGGGACTACCTAAACCCAAACTCCGGGACATCCGAGGGCACACACGTAGTTTACCATCTGCGGTATGAATAACGACTTTCTCAATTCTTTATGATCCTACAGTCATCTCTGAAAACACATTTGCTGTAGTGCTATTTTCTTTTGTTTTTCTCAGACATACAGAACACCCTGAATTGGTAGGACACTACAGGAGATTTAAAGAACATAGTAAAAAGAAAAATGATTTGAAAACAACAAAAACCACAGGTAGAACCTACAGCACGAACTGGGTATTTTCAATACCACGGGTCCCAGCATCATATAACCACAGCCAGTCTTCGCCTTTTGTGGAAACAGAGAAATTGACTATTTTGCACAGAACTAACAACACATTTTTGTTCCTCAGCAGGCCACTAATCCATTTGTTATGCTAAAGAAAGCACCCTTTAAAAGAACTGTGTCCTTAAAGAGTATCAAGAAGATAAAACATACATGTGCATCAGTGGTCTGTAAACTCAAAATTAGTTTAGAGGTTATATTTAGTGTGGGAATTGCTGTTGACTGTACTTCTGGATACCCTGGAGAGGGAATGAACGTCAAGAAGGTGTGGGGGGAGAGGACAAGATAAATTGCCTAACAACATAAATTGCCAGTTCAAAAGAAACCACCACACCTTCTTTATTAATAACTAGGAGTCACGACTCCATTTTTATATTCTTCCACACTTTACTTTTCATTTATACATAGTTTGCCTTTTAAATTACTGAAATACCCTCTAAGGTAGTAACAGAATTTCTACAGAGGATTTTAGTGACCAGACCACGTCGCACTGAAAAAGTCTGTAGGTTGTACCGACTCGCAACAAACAAGTCTGCCACACAGTATGCTGGGTTTCAAGCTATACAAGGGAACAAGTGATGGAGTTACAGAAACTGTTAGGGCAGCAGACATAACACCGAATTCAAGGCGCTGGACACCTTACCAGTTCTTGGTGGCTGTCAATCACTGCAAGGGAAGCTCCGTAGGCAGAGCAGGACTCCTGACTGGAATCCCAATCTGCCATGGCTCCTGAATGATAGTAACACTTCTTCTTGTAGTACAGCCAGTCATCAGGGCACGGCTCCAGCTGTAGTAATTTAGGTGGGTCTTTTGTTCAAATGAAGAAATGAAGAGAACGTCACTTACTCATCATTACGTATTTAAAATACAATTGTATACACATTTACAAATTCTGGGCCTGCTTCCTCCAGCTTAAAAATATCTGCCACTTGCACTGAATTAAGCAGGAGATGGGTAAACATAATACAACTGAAGGATTGTGCTCAGGCTTCGTTTTTTCCGGTTATACCAGCTACGGTGTGTCCAGTAATCCCTGATTACACGTTCACATTCTGGGCATGTGCCAGAAAACCGACTCCAGCCTCTGCAAGTGCAAAGCTCCAGCTACACCGGAGACAGCCCAGGTGAGAACGTCAGGGCAGAGGGCCGTCTTTGACAGTGCAAACATAGACACCAGTTATCTACTGTGAAGCAGGTAAAATTTTACCTTAAACAGGTTCTGATTCAAGGTACTCAGCTGTAAAAATAACTCTACAGGCCAGAGCCAAATCAAGTTAAGAAGTCAGTACTGCCTCCCCAACCCTGCTTATGGCTTTGTCATTCCTCAGCATTTTGCCATGCTGCAGTACAATGAAATCCCGCAGAAAATTTTAAAAATTAAGTCAGTTTAATGCTACCAGAAACAACTGTCTAAGGAGAAGCCATGACACAATTTAGTTTCACTTTCCTTTTCTGGATTCTAACCTCTCTGTAACAGCAGCCATGACTGTGTGTGGGAAAGCTGAACACTCTTCAGAGTTTTCTTCTCTTCCCAGAGCTAAGTTTTTTAAAATAAATGCACTCACTTAAGGTAATCCACATTAAGAGTAAAGTCACAGCAACAGCAATGACAATTCCCACAATTCTTCTCCGGAAAGAGAGTTGTGAACACCTATCTAAGGAGAGAGAGAAATATTAATGTACGTCAGGGAATAAAGCACATGTAAGGAACTGAAGACTCAGGTCAAAAAAAACCATGCAGAGATACATTAACTTCATTAAGATTTTCCGAAGACTTGCACCCACCCCTGAAACGACTGCGTACTGCAGGGCTTCGGTACTTCTAAAACTCGACCAGATTTTCAAGGGCGTTAAATTGCCAAATCCCGCAGAAATACTCGCAGAATACAGCTCCCCCGAGTGCTTCATGTTCACGGTATGGCCCTGGTGGGGGGG